TTACTTACAGTGATGAAATGTGTAAGCGAAAGGGAAGAGTCGTCTTCTGTAAGAAATAAGCTGGCTGCCTTGAAAATACAGGCATTTGCTTTAAAATTCGTTATGACACAAGTTATCAAGGAGAGAACCGTAGGAGCCGGGGGTGGGGAGGGGCAAAATGAGAACGCCGCCACCTTTGACACCTGCAGAGGTCTCCGCCATCTTCCCTCAGTTTAGAGAAACAGAAACTGAGAGCTGCAGGCCGGTGGTTCTCAAAGCAGTGTGTGCAGGAGAAGAAACTCTGCGTCACTCCGGCGGCATCGGCATCAGTGCAAGAGCCTCTGAAAAAAGCAGGTCTCCGCCCCCAGCCCAGACCCGCTGGGGGAGCACCTCGCAAGGCCTGCTTAGCACCCAAGCCTTTACAAGCCCCCCAGGGCATCAGACGTCCGGTCATCAGGGGGTAACTCATGGGAGAGAAGCAAGGACCTACAGGCCTCCGCAGAGCAGACTGGCACCCACGGGGAAAGGCTGTGGCCTCTGCAAGCCCGGGTGTTAAGGAAGGGTGTTGTAGGGCTCCCAGCTCGGCAGGCTTCAACCACAGGACCCTACGGGGGGAGGGGGTCTACAGTGCACCCATTTTCAGATGGGGAAACAGAGGCACGGAGGCATTTAGTGACTCGCCTGAGGTCCTGCAGCCAGAGAGTGGCCTGGCTCACGGGGCTGTGGCTCGGGGCCCAGGCCTGGCCCCGGGCTCCACTGCTCTGACCCCCCCACCCCCACCGCCAGTCGACCATCTGTGTTTCCTGGCAGCTCTACCACGCCTGCAACGGGCCCGGCCTGTCCATTCTCTGCTTCCTGCGCCTCGACGTCCTGGAGTACTTCAGTGTCTACGGGACGGCCCTGAGCATGTGGGTCTCGCTGATGGGTGAGTGGCTGCCCCGGGAGCCCAGCCCTGCACACGGAATCCGCTTCCCTGCCGCCCACCATCCGCTCAGCCGAGCCCCATTGACTGCCCGCCCCCGCCCCTCTTCTCTGAGAACCCCTTTCCTTACCTGGGGTTCAGAGCGGTGCTTAATCTCTGAACGACTACCTCCAGTACTTACGTGCCTTGATTCTCATCTATCATAACCTTCTAAAACTGTGCATTTAGTAAAGGTTTATTTTGACAGATTGAGCAGAGGCATAGAGGGGAAAAAAGGGAAGTCCCCTGCCCGTCTCCCCTCCCCCTGGGGAGCCACTGCTCGCTGTTCAGGGTCTGTCCCCCGGGCTGTTCTCGGGGCTCACGCACACAGGCACGCACACAATTCTCAGCTCGGGTTTTCTGAAGATAGGATGAGTCACAGGCACGTTGCTCGGCAGCTTCTTTCACTCACTGGATTCGTGCTGTCAGGACACACGGTCCCCACCACACGGGGGCCCTGCTCCTGGCGCAGGCTCCGTGAAGGACCCAGGTCCTTCTCGCAGCTTGGCCATGGTCCGTGTGTTTTTGTCCCACTGGTCCCCTGGGATCGATTCGCTCTGGTCACCCACGTGCTGATCTGTGTGTTAGGGCAGCGGCCTGCTTGTCCCCTAAATCCGGCTCCATCTCGACCTCCAAGGGACCAGGCTGGGCCATGGGTTCTCCCTGGCTGAGGGGACGCCACCCCTGGCCCCTAAGGGGGGCCTCCCCGGGAAGCAGCGGCCAGGAGGGCGCGGGAGGCCCCTCACTTCACCCCGTTGTCTCCCCGGCAGCGCTGGCCGACTTCGACGAGCCCAAACGGTCAACCTTCGTGATGCTGGGAGTCCTGACCATCGCCGTGCGGACCTACCACGACCGCTGGGGCTACGGGGTGTACTCGGGCCCCATCGGCGCGGCTGTCCTCATCATCGCGGCCAAGTGGGTGCGTGCCGTGTGAGCCTCCCGGTCGGCGCGCCCCCTCGACGGCGCCTCTTTCCCCTGGGGTCTCTGTCTGCCTCCTCCCCACGTTGGCAGGCTGGACGTGGGGGCTCGGCTCACACACAGAAAGTGATCGCTGGCTGCCCCGGCCACGCAGAGCTGGTTCGTGTTATGTCTGTGCTCACTCGCTCTGGGCCTGACCCAAGTTACTTAACCCCTCTGCCTCAGTTTCCATATCTGTAGAGTGGGTGTTACTGTCCAGTACCTACCTCATAGGGTTGGTTCAAAGATTAACTGAAATGACGCATCTTAAGGACGGGCACAGAACCTGGCTCCTAATGTGCTCGACAAAAAGGAGCTGTTCTTTATTATTCCTGTCATCAAACAGAATGATTGGTTTAGAGATGCAGCATCAGTTGGAAGTGGCCTGGGTTAACCCAGGAAGACGTCCTGGAAGGGATGAGCCTTGAAATTGGTTCAAATGTGGAGGGAGGATGTAGTGTGAGGTCAACAGGAGCGTGGAGGCAGCTCCTGAGCTGGACTTTCAACACTGCACTGGGCGCCCAGGGGCCTGGTCCCCACCAGCCCGTCACCTGGTCCCCAGGCCCTCCTGGCGGGAAGGACCAAAACCCACTCAGACTAGCCCAAGTGAAAGACAGATGCCACTGCAGGGGGGGGCCCCGGGGGCGTTTCCTGGG